GAGCAAAATTGAAAATGCTTTGTGGATAAAATGAAAACTTTTCTTTTCTTTTCTTTGCATGGTTTACTGCCCCTTTACTTTTTGTATCTGTGGGCCACTATCGGTCTGTTTAATGTACAAAAAAAGAGAAAAAGATTTCCCTGCACATGACACACAGATTGAGTTGGCTCATATGCATGAATATTGAACGTGTGCAAGTTTTATATCGCGAGTGGATCAGAGGCTAGCTGAATATAAAGTCAGAGTCAGATCATGAAGAGTATAACCTGTAGCCTAATTTGTTTGGAATGTGTGTGTGTGTGTGTGTGTGTGTGTCTGTGGGTGGGCCTCCAATGTCTGACTGAAGCACAGCAGCTTTGAAAAGGGAAACGGGAGAAACTTGCTCATGTAGCTCTGGACGTGCAATTGTGTCCTGATTTAAGATCATATATTATCCTCGTCATTTCTCACTTAGAATATAATCAGTATTAGTTTTTATTCACTTAATTACCTCTTCAGCTGAAAAATATATCAATACATATATAAAAATAAATATATATATATATATTAAAAATTCAACACACGAGCAGATATCTAAGGGAGGTCTGTACTTTCTGAGTAGTTTGCATTTTATACACATGGGGGCGCTGTTTAACTTTTTTAAACCACATCACAATGATTAAAAAAAGGACTAAAGAATAATGGGGCGTGCTGGGCCTTTTTGCATTTGTGTTATGAGAACTTGGATCTAGTTTGTACAGTTTTTACAGGTGTGAACTTTGCCCAACTGACTTAAAAAAAAAAAAAAAAAGGAAAAAAAAAAGTGGAGGTAGCTGTGTTTTATTTACCACATGAACAGATTTGAATGCAAGATTTGCATAACCATTCGCCTATGTGACGAGAACTTGTAAATGGCTACAAGTTGACCTTTGAAGTGTTTGAAGGTGGTTTGATTTGTAGTTGGGTGTGTGATTTCTTTGTTTTCTCTTTTCTTTTCTTCAGGCTGTAATTAGCCTTTTAAGTAGAGCTGATCACACTGATGGCCGGTCACTAAAAAGAATACCCTGATTTCGTTGATACACATCCTGTTATAGATGGAAAAAAGACAACTCCCCCCCCCCCCTTGATGCTGTTCTGAAACATGAAACAGTGTCTGTGTATGACCATTGCATACTATGTTGCCAATACTACAGTGTGATGAGACTTTTGTTCTTGCATGAATTGAGACACTGTTCTCCTACCTCATGTTGTGATATATATATTAAAAAAAAAGATGTTTTTTAAGCAGAAGACACTGCATCTCTGTTTATCATCATAGATATTTACTAGAAAGATTACATACCTGTAAATGCTTTTAGCTAATACCTCAGTTGTATCTAGTGTTTGTTTTTTTGGTTTTTTTCTGTTTTTGCCCTTTCCTGATTTCAGATCTTGTAAATAAAACCCTGTATAGACAATGAACTTGGATCAAATTCAAGTAAAGTTCTGTAGTGTCAAAATCCGTCATGTCTTTTTTCTAGACCGCCTTTAAGTATAGAGCTCACCAACATTTATGGTCCTGTACATCCTTACACATAACAGTCCGGTGCTGATAATCAGATCCACTTGATTAACTGATCAGCAGTAACTCTGAGCTCTTCTGTAAAAGCAGGTCAGTGTGTTAATTCAGTGCCAAGGAAAAAAGAGGGTTATAAGGCCAGACAAGTCCATCATTCATATGTGGACATCTCAGCAAATTCACCCCAAGGTCAGATTGTGCAAATCACCCAAGAGCTATATGTCAGGCTCTACAGGCCTCAGTTCACATGTTAAAGTTCATGACAGTATATTTAGAAAAGGACTGAACTGGGGAAAGCCTCTTCTCTGTAAAAAGAACATGGCAGCATGGCTTCATCTGAACAAATTTCATTTGGGCAGATGAGAGCAAAGTGGAGATGTTTGCCAAAAACTAAACACAGCACATCAGCACAAACACATCATACCAACTGTCAAGCACGGTGGTGGAGGGGTGATGAGTAGGCCTTGTCTTACAGCCACAGTCATTGAGTCGACCATAAACTCCTCTGTATTCTAAAGTCAAATGTGAGGTCATCTGTCTGGCAGCTAAAGCTTGGGTCAAACTGGGACAGGACAACGAAACTGCAACAAATCTACAGCAGAATTGCTGAAAAATGTAAGTGGTCCAGTCAAAGTCTAGACCTCAATCTGATTGAAATGTTGTGGAGAGATCTTAACAGAGCTGTGCATAAATGACTGCCTGTGATTCTTAATGAAGTGAAGCAACGTAAAGAGGAACGGGCCAGAATTCTTCCACTATGATGTGACAGACTGATAGAGTTATACAGAAAACAGTCATTTCCAGTTATCAATGCTAAAATAAACCTGTCGCCACTTTAGAACATCAGGAGTGACATACGTGTCCAGCAGCTATTTTTGGACCTCAACGAAAGAATGTTCTACCTTTTTATAATTGGTGGTGTTGTACCTGCATAATGTCACCAGTGGTTTTGAGTTCAAACTGGTGCTACATAAAAGTCAGGGAGTTACCAAAATCATCTAGGTCCTCTGGAGATCTGGGAAATGATAAACAATTCAGCTGAGCTATTGTGATCAAAGTTTTAAGCCAACAGATAATACCTCTCTGTAGTTTGTTACAGGGAAATCCACATTATTCCAATAAATAAAATTTTTGTTTTTTATTTCTTATAATGTAGGTTCTTTAGTAAAATGCTTTGTGCAGTCATGTTTTGTCCTCTGCAGCCAGGCTAAAATTAAATCTCCAACCACAGAAGCTGTCAGGAGGAACTGCAGCCAAGGCAAGGCTGGGCAGACGCTATCAGAAGGCTGTTGAGGAAACGCAGCCAGACCCCGTTCGGATCCAGGTATGAGGGTATTCCTGCGGGTAGAAGGAAGAGAACAGCCAGAAAAACCAGGGAGGGGGTCCAAGTGTTGAGAAATATACACAGAGCTTGGTTGACAAAATTCCTCCCAGACTGAGTGCAAATTTATTCTGTAGTTTGGGGTTTCAAAGGAGGATAATTCACAGATATCTGTATGTAGCAGCTAATCTCAAGAGGATGGCGAGCACGCAGTGCAGCACAGAGTCAGGACAAGCAGCATGGCAATATGCAGGACCTGAGAGGTGTGAAAAACTCAGCACCTGTGCATGTGGTGGTGGGAAACAGGCAGTGGGAAGATGGAAAGAACAGTCTACCAGCAGGTGGATGCCAGTAGGCTAACTAATAAAAACATGAATCATTTTGGCTTGAAGGTGGAAGCTTGCAACCTCTGAGTCATGATGTAAAAATGAGCCCAACCAGCCATGAGTGCAGTGGGCCATTGCAGTGCTCTGTATGCTACTCTGAGGATTTGAACCAACAAACAAACACCTCGTCATCATTGGGTGATGATGAGGTGTCTAGGCAGAAAATAGAGTGAAAGATAACACAGATGGAGCAGGGAGTGTACACAATGATAGGGCAAGAGAGGGAAAAGTGACTTAAAGGTTTTGTGGGGATGAAAGAACTGAATAAATTATATGGGAGGTTTGAAGGATCACACTTCAACGCATCTGAATTAGGGAACGGCTTAAGCTTGACAAGCAAGTGATTACAGCACTCAACGTTTTAGAAAGATCAATATTAGAAAAGCAGCCAGACCTGATGGATTAACTGGTAGTGTGGAGGGAAGAAGTGTGTTCCCAGAACCTGTAAAACCATCATCAATAGCTCCTCCTTCAAAAACGTCACAACCACGGGGTTTCAAATGATTATTGTCCAGTAGCATTAACTTTTGAGAGAATGGTGTTCTCAACGACATGCAAAAAAAAAATACTGGACCCACAAGAAGGAAGAGTACATGGTGCATGTAATACACTGTCATCTGAACCAAAACAAAAACATATGTATGTGCTCTGTTTGTGGACTTTCCATCTGGATTTCATAATGAAAGACCACACAATGCAAAGGTGGTCACAGAAAAAGGTCGACAGCGCAGCCATCATAAGGGTTGAGTCCTTTTTCAATGATAGATCATTGAGTGATAAATAAGATAAGTATCACCCACCATTAGCACCGACACTGGAGCCCCACAGGGGAATGTTAAATCATTAGTCTTATCTACTCATACTAATGAATGCTGGCCTGGCTCATCTGATGTCTTTAATGTTGGCTTTGCTGATGATACAGAGATTGTTGGTTTGTTAGTTGGTGTAAACACCAGGAAAACTAAATAAGTTATTTTTGCGTGAGCAGGAAGACACATCAACAGACACCCAGGAAAAATTCCTATGAGAGCCAACAGAAGGTAGCTGTGGATGAAATGTGAGGCAAACTCACACTTATCTCACGTGGGATCACAGACTGGTTTCTTAAACCTGTGATGATCACTTTATTTAAATGTCTTCCATAGTCTCCACCGGAGCACGTTAGGGATTTGGTGGAAGAGGAAATTCACATCATGGATGTGAAGCCATCAGATCTGCAGGAGCTGTGTGATGCTGTCATGTCAACATGGACCAAAATCTGTAATGAATATTTTGGGATTGCTCTGAACGAAAAAAGGGAATCCAACCCTGTACTATCAAAGTGTAGCTAATAAAGTGTCCGGTGAGTGTATTTTTAGTGTGCATTATGAGGGTGTAGTACCGTCTTTGACCAGCAGAGGCAGGCGTGGCGCTGTGGCTTTAAGCACGCTCAGAGAGCGGGGGTTGTAGCGCTGTCTGACAAACGGTGACGTCACCTCCCCGGTCACGCGCCGTTCTGTAACGTGCCAACTTGTACTCTTTGATAGCAGCGCTTCCGTTTTTAAAATACACGCTCGGTACCGTCTAAATATTCCCGAGCCGCGGTGAATTAGTAACGACATGTGCGCGTTCGCGTGTTTGTGACACAGTAAGGCTTCACTTTGTTAAGTTTCACTGCCGATCGGACCCGTTAGCCGGTTAGCCATTGCTAGGTAACGGTAGCTGTCAACAGATCAACGGCTCCAAAGCCGTTAGTCACGGCAGGTACTGAGGTGTTTGTGTGTCTATGTGTGTGTTAGTTTAATTTCTGCGAGCGCAATGTGTTATAAACGGACGGTTATGTCAGCCGAACTGGGCCCAAGGCCACTGCTGGAAAATGAGGGCTGAACAGAAAGTTGCACAGCTGTGTTTTCTTGACGTATATTTCACCGGTTAGGATGGAGAAGTCCATATGATTGAAATGATCAGTCATTATTTTTCTAATTAACCTGCAGTTGAACAGAGACGATTTATCAGTCAAGTAAAAATGTTTTATTTGTGATTTGTTAGGGTCATTTAGAGGTTTCAACCTCTGAGGTTGAAGGATTATCTGCTCACTAAATACATACATATACTGGTTTACTTTATCAGGCACATTTAAAAACAATTACGTTGTGGGACTCTTGAGCTTTTATAATTTATCATCATCATTATTATTATTATTTGGCCTTTAAATGTCTGTCTGTCTGGTATAGGCGTTGCTGTATAGGGTAGAGGATGGCACTAACAATAAGACAGGAGGCAGAGCTGAAGGTGTGAGGATTTTCATTGGGACTGACCAGGATGGACAGGATTAAAAAAAGAGTACATCAGAGGGACGGCTTAGGTTAAGTGGTTTAGAGACAAAGAGATGAGGCTGAGATGGTTTGGACATATGCAGAAGAGTGATAGTGGATATACTGGCCAAATTATGTTGAATGTGGAGCTGAACAGCGGAAGACCTCAGAGAAGATTCTGAGGACAGAGAAGGAAGCCATAGAAAGGGCTGATGTGACAGAGGAGGATACTAGGGACAGGGTGAGATGGAGGCTGATTATCTGCTGTGGTGACCTCTAAAGGGAGCAGCTGAAAGAAGTCTGGTATAGGCAAAGCTTCCTGTGGTCTATTCAACATGTCACAATCCTAGGACATGAAATGTATAATTTTATAAAACAATAAAAAGCAGCAAATCCTCCTCTTTGAGAAGCTGGAACCAAGTAATAAATAACGTAACAAAGCATTGGGTGATTTTTATTTCAAATAGTCAGGCATTGTCATAGTTTCCTTTTTTTGGGGGGGGGCTCTTAAGTATTTCAGTAATGAGTACCTCAAATCAATGAGTGCCTCCCACTTGATTGCCTCAGTCAGATTTCTTTGTTTATAAACCTTAAGAATTACAATTGAAGTGCACAGGAATTTGATGGACATTGGGAATTACTATATTGGAAAAGTATTTAAACTTAGGAGATCATGACTAGAAGATGAGCATGTATTTAAATGTTGGTAAAAATTAGACATTCCTTATGATATAATATGAGGACTCAAAAATGCCTGAAAAATTAATGTAATTTAAAATGTACTCCAAGATCTTGTGACTTGGAAGATTTTCATAGCATGAGGGTAAAACTTTGAATGGCTTATTGTACCAAAACCAGTCACCTGATTCCTGTGTTGTCAGATGTGAACTTTACTCAAGTTTGACTGATTTTTATAAGAAATCATCCAAACCCAGTATTTATGTTCCTTGATTGCAGGATGGAAAATTCAGAGACCAATCCTCCATCGAGGCCCCTAGCAGTGCCGGACAGAGCCATGTTGCGACCCTCCGCCCCGCTCGGTCAGATGTCAGAGTCACCCAGGGCCTCTAAGCACAGGGAGCACTCGTCCAAGTCACCAAGGAAACGACGGGATGGGAAGAGGTCGCAGCGACGGGGGGGCGATCATGAACAGCTGCTGTGGGAGATTGAGCGCCGGAGGTTGCCAGGCCAACACGAGCACTTGGAGCCCTGCAGTTCAGCAAGCGACACAGCGGAAAGTTCTCCTAAGAGGTTTGCACTGCAGGTTGCCAGCTGGTCCTTCGTGCCACTGGCACAGCTCTGCTGCTTGGGACGTGAGGTGATGTTCTCTTGACTCCACTGTCTTTCCTTCTCACAGAAGAGCCCACTTTCTACATGGACCGTATCCAGCCACTCACTTCGGACCCAAAGCCTGCATTCTTCCCAACCCAACTTCAGTCATGTAAGCATGAGGGTGCTGAATGAGTCGGACTTTGTGTTTGTTAGGACATTGACACAGATGAGTTTGTGTAACTGAATGAGATAAGATAAATTTAGAATGCTGTGATTGGATATTACCTGAGATGGGAAGGCTTACAAAGTGGGCTACAGATAGTGATCGTCACCTGATCGTAAAGAGTTTCTTTGGCCTTGATTTGTGAACACGCATACAGACAGATTTACCTGCACAATGCCTGTTATCCGCCACACAAAGAAGAAGGGAGATAAAAGGTAAAGGGATGAGGAAAAGAGCATTTTATATATTCTTGTGTTTGGAATTTGACCCCAGCCTGTACAGACATGACCTCAACGTGACCGAGTCATTCATCACGGTTAATGAATGACTAGGCTCCTTGAGAATACTGAATCATATTTATTTAATTGAGAAGACATGGTATCAGTCGGATTTACTTCATTTGATGTCTGTCAGGATCAAAAGCAGACTGACCTAAACTATCAGTACAATGTGGTAGGGTTACGTTAAACTCATTTAAATATATTATATGTGTTCATTTCTTCTTTTTTGTGTGTGTTTTATAACCTGCCGCGGAGAGACGGCGTTTGTAGTTTTAGGTGTTTGTTTATTCACTTGTTTCTCTACGTCTGTGTCCGTGTCCCAGGCACATCCAAGACCCAGCCAGCCAGAGGCTCACCTGGAACAAACCTCCAGTGAATGTGCTCGTCATCAGGAAAATCAGAGATGAGAGCCTGGCTGAACCTTTCAAAGAGCTCTGCAGGTTTCTAGTAGAGGTACAGGACCCAGCGTTTATAGTGTCATACAGTCGATAATGTACTGCACTCCCATTTTCCACAACAATAAAACTACTGACACTGATTATGTTATTACCGCGTCTGCTGTTAAGAGTATGTTAGTCAGGCAGCGATCAGACAGTTTTCAAAGTTCATGTGTCAGCGAGATAAAAGCTTCGATGCTAGGCTGCTGAGTTAGAGCATCCCCAAAATGGCAGGTGTTTTGGGATAGTTTGAGTTGAGGGTCTACAGGTAACCTGGGGCAAAAAGGACAAAGGCACCCGAAGCTTACTGATGTTTGTGGTCAGGGAAAGCTTGCCTGCATGGTCCAGCCCTACATAAGAGCTGCTAAAGAACAAATTAATACTGACGGATCACACAGGGCGGCACAGACTGCTCTGAGTGCCACGAAAGAAGGTGGCCTGGTCTGATTAAATTATCTTTTATATCCAGCGGACACTACCATGTGTCTGTGTTTTACCAGGACAACAGACTGTGTTTGTTTGTTTTTCTTTCAGAGAAGACAGACTTTTCTTTTTAACAACAAGTATCTCCAAAATTGGGCAACATACATAAATTAATAACAAAAAATAGGCCAGAACAAAAGTAGAGTTTGGGCTGAGCCGTCTCTTTAAAAAGTGATTTCACTTCAGTTTTGTCTGTTGGCGAGTTGTAAACTTCACCCATGTACCTACTGAGAAACATGGCAAAGAACCAAGTGTACACTGACACACTTGTAGACCTTAAGAGCAACAAATAATCATAAAGAAGAATGCAGGAAAGCGTCCAGACATGTAAGTTATAGTCTCGTTTCAAGCAGTTACAACACCTTGTGACCAGATGTTTGTTTTAAAAAAACAAAAAAAAAAGCTGTACTTTGTGAAACCAGACGGTCGGTGTTGGACAGTGAATCCACATATTTGCATTCCATACAGGTGCTATCACTAAGCTAGCTACATGTGTTTGGCACATGTTTAACGTTATTTTGAAAGGCTTACACTTAAGAGATGTCTGTGTGTGTTTTGGCTGTTGTTGTGCGTTTTTGTGTCAGGAGAAGCAGATGATGGTGTACGTGGAGCGCAGGGTCGCAGATGACGCCACGCTGTCGAAGGACGAGGCGTTCGGCTCAATCCGTAATCAGCTCTGCACCTTCAGAGAGGGTGAGACCCAAAGCAACACAAAACTTGACCATTAGAAGACCAGATATTTGTGTTTAGTAAAAGGTGCAATCTTTTGATGTTTATTCTTCAGTAAAAATGTAAAAATGGCAAAGATGAAGTGTTGAATTATTGATTATGTTACCCTAAGCGCTATTCTATTTCTACTCTTAAGATGACCACATCAGCAATGCAAAGAACTTGCTGAACTTACAGTTTTCCTTTCAGAATGATTACATATTTAAAATTATTTACATTCATTTTTCATTATTTCCTGTGTTTCTGTTTAAAAAAATAAAAAGGGTACTGGAGATGTGTTAAAAAAACATGTATAACAATGTGTTGTTTCTATTGCATTTCATCTTCTTTTTATAGTATAACTAAATGATCTTTATTTATAAAGTCATCCTTCAAACCAAGATAAAGAGCAGCTTTGCTAAATTTTCTTTCCTGATCTGTTTTTTGTTGGGTTTATTAAATTGTTTCCATTAACTACATTAGCTACAGCCGAAGTAGTGTTGTCAGTGTTGGGTTTTTCTGTTTATTTGTGCTTTGCATCTTTTTGTTCCTATAGCTCTTTAGTCTCATTGTCCCTACTTCATGTAGGTTTTTATCTGAAAGACCTGCCCAGGGTGTACCCCACCTCTTGCCCTGTGACAGCTATGATAGGCTCCAGCGCTCGGATCTTATATTGTAGTACTTTAAAGGATGTGTCGTTGTTTGTTAAATAAGCGTGTTCAGTTTGAAGAGTTGCTATCAGAGAGAGGATGTTGCATGTTTGAACCACTGCTCTGTTTTCCTAGTTAATGTTGTGTTGGATCAGTACCTCACTACATATGGTGGCTGTTTCTTTGTCATTCATGTTATTGGATGCTCCCATGCAGCATTTTTTCCCAATGTGTTTTTCTATTAAAAACACTTAAACTGCCATTAATGAAATATTCTGACAATCTGTGTTGTGACTGTTATAAAGTAGTGCAAAAGGTGAAACTTTAATAAGGGATCCTGAGTATTGAGTAAATATGATGAAAGATGTTGGCAGTGTCTGATGAGGGGGAAATCTTTTAATGGCTCGTGCTTGAAGTAACATTGTTGTATTTTTTAAGCACTTACTTTGTGTGACGTCAGGTTATGATGATATATCCGACTGCATCGATCTCATCATTTGTCTGGGTGGCGACGGGACTTTGCTTTACGCCTCTTCGCTCTTCCAGGTATTGTGATTTTTTTTTTCTTTTTTTTTTTTCTAAATGTCAGAAAACCTTATTGACGTTAGCCAAGACCTTTGTAGCGGTGACATAAAAGAAAAAAAAGCGAGTTTTACATTTTCCACTGTTTCTATTTTAATGTAGCGTTTTTAACCCTGGTGAGTAATTTGACTGTTGCTCCTTCATGTTACAGACTCAGAATAGCAAAATGAATCACATCAAAGACACACTGTGTTTTAGAAGTTGCCGTGTGTGTAATATTATAACAGATGTTCATTTTGCATTGTAATTGCATTATAACCATAACAAATCTTTCAGATTCCTTCTCTTCTGAATTAATGTTTGTTTAAAATATAAAAAGAAATGCTTGGATTTGAATATTTAATTACAGTTTTCCTGTCGATGAGCTTTTCAAAGTATAGGTTGGATCATTTCTATTGTTCTGAGTTGGTTTTAATTTTTACATAATGACGTGCCTTCTCTTTTCCGCAGGGAAGTGTCCCTCCAGTCATGGCATTCCACCTTGGCTCTCTGGGCTTTCTGACACCGTTCAAGTTTGAGTCATACAAGACTGAAGTAGCCAAAGTGTTTGAAGGTAAACTGCAGCTCTTTCTGGATAATAATAGTTTCATTGGAAACTTTTTACCTGATCGGCAATTTTTGGGGGACTTTCAGGCAACGCAGCAATCACTCTGCGCAGTCGTCTGAAGGTGAAGGTGGTGAAGGACATGCTTCAGAGAACAGGAGAGCAGCCGTACAGCGGAGGGCCACAACAACAGCCGGAGCACAATGGACTCCTTCCTCATGGACACACCAACACTGATGCTGGCAGGGTCACCCTGCAGCTACAGGTTTGTTAAAATGGTCAGTGAGAATATCAGCTGCTGGACTGTTTACGCCCCAAAAATAAGCTTGTTGGCTTTTGTGTTCTTGTTTAGAAGCTGAGGTGGATTGTACGTCATTCTGATGATCAGATCATCAGATTAATGGTTGGACAATTCTCAAGATAAACATAAATGTAGATTACAGGCTGGAACTTTTTCATGATTTTGAAGAATAATTTTAGGAATTTAGTAGGTGGATAGAATGAGCTTTTCTGTTCTTATGAAGCACTCAGTTCCTACAGCACAGGTCACATTTACCCATTCACAGTCAACCCTTCTGGGGTTTCTGGTGTGAAGAAAGTGTGCAGCTGTCAGGCAACAGATGAAACTCTTGTGGCTAGCTTGAAGACACATGGCTGATGCAAACTTTTATTCACGCGGTTATCAGTGCCACTAAATGATAAATTAAAATATTATAATGAGGGCAAGGGTTACAAACCTTCATTGAACGACCTAACAGTTTGATGTCAAAGAGAGTGAAAAAACAGTGTCAGGGCAGGAGAGAAGCATCTGTTAATTAGCTGATTGCTTCGTTGCGTCCCTCAGCTGTTTGTGTACTTTGGAGACAGATGCGCGGAGTTTTCAGTTTACTTTTTCACAGTCATGGCTCCTTTGAATTTATCAGGGTGTCTGTGAGTCTCAAAATGTCTTAAATATACAATTACCAGTAAAAGCCCTTAAATGTATTTCCAGTATGCTGTTTACACACTTTTATCACTCAGTGTGACTGCATCTTTAATGCTGCGTCTGATAGTTTGACTAACCTTTTCAGGCAGGTTTTACCTGTGTAAAAGGCTGATAAAATACTTTATCTAACTGAACACACACTTAAAAGAAATCTTAAAACACAAACCACCTAAGGTTTTTGTGGGAAACCCTGAAGATGATGATGATGATAGGGTTACCAGCCAATCAGCCTGCAAAAAAACAACAGTATGTTGAAGGATTTCAAAATTAGGACTTCTGAAAATGTGAGACTATGTATGAAAATGAATTCTTAAACAGTACTTTTGTTAAACCTTTTAAGTTAAAACTGAAAGTCTACATTCCAGTCACAACCTGATTATTTGATTTAAAATCCAGTTAACTCTCTAAAAGCCTTAGGTTTAACTTTTGTACCTGAGATCATTGAGATGCCAAGGAAAGCACCACAACCATGTTGCTGTTTCCTTGCGGGTCTCTAAAATGCAGTCCTTTTTAAATCTATCATATGATTAATCTCTCTGAGGTCCTTTAGATTCAGCAGCTGGGACCTCTTAGTTCCCAGTTAAGTTCCTGTGGTTCCTTAGTTCCTGTAAATATTTGGGCTCATGGGACTGCAGTTTGGCCTCCTTGTTAATTCCCGATCACACTCCTGCACGCCATTAAGATGATGGAACCTGACTGTGTGTGTATGTGTGTGTAGTCTAGGGCTCAGTGAGGGATCATCAGCTTGGTTGCCATGGCAACAGTCATAATAAAGCTGCTCGGGAGAGAAATTCGGATGTTATGAATGTTTGTTGAGCCAGTTTCCAAGGATACTGTGGCGTCAACAGTGGAGTCAGTGCCGAATGGATATTTAATGATTCCTGACGTTCTCGGTTTGACACACTGTGTAACTAGCGAACACGACACACACACATAGCCTCTCTCTCTAAGCACAGCCCTCTCCTTAGTCCTCTCACCCCCCTGGAGTTTTTAGGCTCATCGATAAAAGACAGTGACGGATTGTTCTGATCCCTGAGCTTCAGTTTGACCTCACATTACATCATGTCTGCTTGCACCCAGCAGGATGTTTGCGTTGTGCTCAGCTGACGTCAGTATATCTGTCAGACATCACAGCATGGCGCTGCAGCAGGCTGTGAGACTCACTGAAGTGTGGAACATGATTTGTTTGCAGTCAGTCTGCTTGTACTTTTTTCTTTCTGTAATGTACTAGTTTATTGTTTTATGGAGTGCACTGAGCAGATTTAAGGCTGTCTTCAGGGAACACATGGATATGTTATTCTGTGTTTTACTGCTCAATGGGTGTGGAGTTTATTTACAATTTACATGACAACCAGTTTGTTTATTAGACCTTCATCTCCAACCAGAGGCTTCCTTTTATTAGATTTGCTTGTTTGAGTGTTTGGTGGAAAAATCAACCAGATATTTTGCTGAAATTTTAGTGCCAACTTAAAAGGACAAACTGATTTAATTTTGTTGTAAATAGCACCACCATGTGGATATTAACAGCATGACACTCTGGCAAGTTCATACAATCTTTTCTGCTGTCTCCATACAGTCTATATACAGTTTCCTTGATCTGTAAAATCACAACCATTGCTACAGTTTTATTTTTTAACTGTGTTTTAGTGAGCCCGAGCTAAAGACATTTATTTGCTTTTTCATTTTACTGCACTAAATTCACATTTATAGATAACTGCTCATATTAACTCATTCACTGCCAGCCATTGGCAGTGAATGAGTTAAACCCATTGACTCATTCACTGCAATTGACGGCTATAGACGTCAATGGCAGTGAATGAGTTAAGTATGTGTCATTTGGTCAAAAGATGGCACTGCAGTTGCATATTTTGGGTCTTCAGTATTCGGAGAGAGGATCTATATCCTTTCTAAGAACATGGCAGAGTTCCCTAGGCCTTCTGATCTTATCTATGGTGTGTGTGTGTGTGTGTGTGTGTGTGTGTGTGTGTACACGTACATGTGCAGGTGTTGAATGAGGTGGTGGTGGATCGAGGACCCTCCTCCTACCTGTCCAACGTGGACTTGTACCTTGATGGACGACTCATCACCTCAGTGCAGGGAGACGGTGGGTCTGTGCTTCTTCCAGAGCACTGATTCGGTTTCTACTAGAGCTGAAACAAAGTGTTTGTGTACAAATAAACTCAAAGGCAAATGTTATAAACTGCCTCCATCTCACTCTGTTCTCCAGGTTTGATCGTGTCCACACCTACAGGCAGCACGGCGTACGCGGCTGCAGCAGGAGCTTCTATGATCCATCCCAATGTCCCCGCCATCATGGTCACTCCCATTTGCCCCCACTCGCTCTCTTTCAGGCCCATCGTGGTTCCTGCTGGGGTGGAGCTCATGGTAAGGAGGAGGTTGGAAACATCTTTATTGTGTTTTGTATATATTAAATGTTCTCTCAGTGCTGACGGAAGGAAAAAACTAAATCATATTTAAATGTTGCCAAACAACAATTATGAATCTAACATAATCTATAGAAGTCCATATTGCTAGAAATCCAGCATCTTTTTCCCCCCACACAACAGTGCGCTTTCACACCACACTAATAGCCCAAACTCACTCACTGTATTCACCTTGAGCCAAAATAACGCGAAAAGAGCCATCAACACGATCTGCCAACACAGTATAAAGGATGCAGCTGCCATGAGATCAGCTACTGGTTAGTGAAGTCCCATTTTGAAGCCTATATTTTAGTGTTTTCACCATTGCTACCTTGGCTTAAAATAAACAAAACCAAAAGATGAACAGAGGAATGGTCGCATCTGACTGTGCAGCTGTTCGCACATACGCTAATGACATGTCAGTCACAAGTCACCAGCCAATGAGTGTACTACAGATAATCCTCCTCTCTGAAACATGGTATCACCAAGATTTACAAAATAGACCTTTGGGCAAGATGATGAACCCCAAGTTGTTCTCTGATCCGACCAGAGAGTGAGTGTGTGAATCTTAGATAGGAAAAAAAGTGCTTCTATGAATGGGGGAATGAGGCATGGTTTATAAAACAAGTACAGTAGAAAAAAGCTATAAAAGAACCAGTCCATGTACTATTTAGTGGCCGCCCCCCAACCCAGCTCAGACTGTGTCTTATGGGCACAACAAATGTGCGTGTCTAACCTTACTGCACAAGAAGATCTGTTCCAAACGTGTACCACCATTCTACGCAACTTAATTAGTTCTGATTGGATTTCGTCTCAACAGACTATCTTCAGCTCATTCATAAAAGTGTCGGTACATTTCATCATAGCTTTTGTCCTCGTGCATTAGTTTTTATTTAGCTATTGTTTTGTTTTTGTCAGAAGAAAAGGCCATTGATGAAATGTATTGGTCAGTGACATTAACACTGGTCTGGAGGCATCTACAAACAAACACCAGGTAACCTAACATGCAAGTCTTTGGACTGTTAGAGAAAACCCACAATCCTCCGGGTACCAGGTCAGGCGGTTCGAACGAGCAAGCTTCTTGCTGTGAGGCTGGTGGTCTGTCCATCACTTTATTACAGGCTTAAATATCTTAATTAAATTTTTACCCCACCGTTGTGGAATAACTCCAGTAACCCTCTTACTTATACCAGCTCTAACAAGGGTTTGAATGAGAAATATTGGATACATTTCATAAAATTGTTCCTGTCAGCCGCTCTGAATTATAGTCACTTTGTTTTATCTGGTAACAACAGCAGTTTTTGCATTGGTGCTTTGGTTCATGGCCAGATGCTCACAAAATGAGTGACGTGCCCTTTGTTCTCATCCGTAAGTTTGTCAGTGCTGGTTAGAAAATGCTTTAAAAGTAAAATGGAGCTGCTCGCCTGGCTGATGTTGTTTTAACTCTAACACTGACAGTCTGTCCTCGCCTTCCTTGAAACAGATCACGTTGTCCCCTGATGCCAGGAACACTGCCTGGGTGTCGTTTGATGGCAGGAAGAGGCAGGAGATCCAGCACGGAGACTGGTAAGCACAAGTGTCGACGTCTGTAACAGATTCACTACAAATACTTTTTTCCTCAGTTTTAAGATGATTCTTCCGTCTGTTCTTCTACCCACAGTATTAAGATCACGACCTCCTGTTATCCGGTGCCATCGATCTGTTGTCACGACCTGGTGTATGACTGGTTTGAAAGTCTGGCTCAGTGTTTGCACTGGAACGTACGCAAGAGGCAGGCCCGACTCGCAGACACCTCTGACTCGTCAGACACAGAAAACTGACTGGTATTGTTGGGGTTCAAAGACATTCACCTGAAGCTCTCTGCAGCAGCCCGGAGAGAACGAAGGGATCAGGTTTGTTCAGAGACGAACTGAGGAATCGTCTGCAACCAAATCAGCGTCAAATCAGCGGTGCACAGTGATCATTTGCACCCCAAGTCATCAACGCATTACAGTCCAGTGAATACACACTGTAGTTTATGTGTATCTTCCAGAAAGAAAGCATGTTTCATCTTACCCGGGAATGGAAAAAAAAAAATCTTAACAATTGCATGATGATGACCACCCGAAGCTCCTCATGAGTACTAAACAATCATCAATGATAAGTGTAAGAGTGCTAGATGTTAGCGACATAAACGTAGAGATACACTGAAAGCTGAAATGAAGCAAACATACTCTTTGTACTCAACCTTTAAATGTACATTTGTAAATACAAGAATCTAGGATTAATTTATTTAACGTCATATTTATGTAATATCTGAATATTTTCAGGACAGGAGTTTGAAGCAAGTTTAAGAAAACAGTCGACTTAAAATGAAATTTCTATCACGGAGTAAACCAAAGACGACTGTATGTGATTGTTTTCTACTTTATGAACGTCTTGTGGAGTTCACGGCCTACTTTCTGTTCTCACCGTAAAACACTTCATGTTTCAGCTGCCTTACAAACTTCTCAGCCTGAGTTATAATGCAAGTCAGATTTCTGTGTCGCCGTCGTTATCAACAGATTGTGAAATGATTAAAAGATGTAGCAGGAGCCAAACTTAAAAATAAAGAAAAAACAAATTTTTTTTTCCTTTTTTCATCTTTATGTGAACCCAAACTCTCCCTTCATCAAATCAGTTTTTTTTTTAGCTCTTATGAGAAAACTAGTAGTTCTAGTTAGCCAGTAAAAATCATTCAATAAGCACATTTTCTACAATTACGTGTCATTCACTGCTGTTTCTCTGGACTGATGTTAGCACTGCTGCTGTTTTTAGATGTAAGTCTTGCCATGTTTTGCTTCACGTTTTGGTGCGCTGCACACAGTGAGCCAGGTATTTAAAATTAATTGTCAGGAAGTGGGTTAAAGCGCAGGTAAGCAAATTAATGGAAGCATGTCTCACCCCAACCGGTTGCAGCAGATGGCCACCCCTCCCTGAGCCTGGTTCTGCCGGAGGTTTCTTCCTTTTAAAAGGGAGTTTTTCCTTTTCCACTGTCACCAAAGTGCTTGCTCATAGGGGGTCATATGATTGTTGGGTTTTTCTCTGTATCTATGAAGCGCCTTGAGGTGACTTTTGTTGTGATTTGGCGCTATATAAATAAAATTGAATGTTTGTGGCACTGAAATAGAAATTTGTTTATCTTAAAATTTTGACTTGTTCAGTAGGTAAGATCAAATTTGGTATACCTCAAAATTTCAACTTTGTTCTGCCTGACTTTTTTTTTTTTTTTTTTTTAATTCAAAGGCAGAAACAAGCTTTCATACAAATCTGATGATTGGGTGAAGATTTGGTGTGGTGTGGCCAAAAACACCTTGTATTTTTTTAATGTGCTAGAGCGTGCTGGCACGTACAATCAGATTAGGTCCTTTCAGGTCTCTCTTAGAAGATTCATGGCAGGACCGAAGAAGTTTGATCCTTGGGAATGCAGTCCCTCTTTGGGTTTGGAAATTCTGGAATCTGTGAAAAAAAAAGCCATTCTGTCCCTGATTTGTAGTGCTTACTCGCTCCAATGATACTTGACACAAAGGTCAGGTAGTTTGAGGGATAAGTTGAGTTGGAGTCACACATTCAAACGAGTGGCCAGAGCAGGACATTGAAGAAATAATCCCACAAAAATCCCCCACTGCCCTATAATCTGTCCAGAAGTCAAAAGATCTTGAAGAGGAGAAGAGATGGGCTAAACTAAAACATTTTAAATTAATCAGTGCCTTTGCTACATGTATTGCAAATATTTGTGGGGGAAAAAATTAATTTGTTTTTGGTGGTCACAGATCTAATATTAGAAACAAAATCACAGTGCTCATTGTGCTTTCTATATTTTTATTGCAATGATAAGATACATATATACTTCCAGACATCCAATTTTATTAAATTATACTCCAATATTGCAGGAGACAGTCTTGAGAATGATATCAATCCAAATGTGGACAACTAGGTGATCAAAAGACACTTTTTTTTTTTTGTTTTGACCACAGATAAAACATGGAGGTTTTACAGTTTTTTTTCCACTTTCATTATTTCTCCCGGAAATGCGTGATGAGAAGCAGCAGCAGCATAGAGTAATACTACAATATACAACAGACCGATACTGTGCAACAGTCAAGAACAACTGGGAGAATCTTTTTTCCCCTGCTCTCTCTTTTGTGAAATATTTATGCCAATATTCAGAGAACAGCCACTGACACACTGGCAACTCAGGAAGGGGAAAAAAAAAAAGACACTACCCCTTCTGGGGAAGAAAAAACCCCCACATAAACAAGACGACATCGTGGTCATTAGAGCGCTAAATGGAAGTACAGCAGACAAAGCAACAAACTACAAAGGCTAGAGGAGAAACTAAAAGAGTTGTAGAGAAAGCTGTGTGGATTATTTTAAAATATTACTTCATCAGAGTGTGTGGGGAACCGGCAGGTCACTGTTAGTGTTACGCAAACCTCAAGTTAATGACTGACCACTGTTTGTGAGACACATGGCACCACACAACTAACCCACCGTGTCACAAGTTCAACAGTTTTGTGGCAAATGTATTTAAAAAAAAAAAGACAGATAAAAATGCTGATATCTAATAGACTCCCACTGTTGTTACCTTTAAATAATGAGTACACTTTATGATCATATTAAAAACAAAAATAGATACTCTGGGGATTAAAGTTACACCTCCTACAGAAAAGCAGGGGCAAACTTTGATTCTTAGACTGAGTAAATGCATATATCTGATATATCAATAGAATCCATTTATAAATGATACATTTCTATTTTATATTCTGAAATAAACTTCTCGCTATGACTAAAAACAGCATCTAAGACATTTCTAGCCAGAAGATAATGTGAAGGAACAGCTTGGACCACGGTTAGTGGGACCACAGCCGCCAGCTGGATTCACAAAGCGACGCCCGCCAACTGCTGTGTGGCGGCTTGTGCGAGACGAGACGGGGACCGACATGGTTGGAGTCTAGTGCAAATGCCTTTAAACGGTTTCATTGAGACCAACAAGTCTTTGTTTAGCTGCACACTAACGACAACCGTGCTGTGCTTTTTCTCTGTGAAAGTTGTGTTGAGTTTGACAGGACAGTAACAAAACTAATTGACCCGAACACGCCTTGCGCTCAGCTCTCCCTCTTAAAGCGTGCGTCGTCGTGAGCTGTGTTTGGCACTAGAGTTTGCGTAACATTATTATCTGGTTCTGTTTGCAAATGAATGAGCCGACTCTACCTCTCCTTGCTTTAGTTGTACAGCAAATGTTGCAATTTTTGTTTTTAGTGAAGTAGGCCCTGCATCCCAGTTGCTCACACTAACTGTTAAAGATGAGTCCCACATTATTAAACATGAACTAGAAGTACTTCACACAGTGTGTACAGGATTGCACTATGATCATAAGCCATTAAAAAAAAAAAAACCAAACTGAAAATAGCAAGTACCTCAAAGAGCTGAACGCTCTGCTGTCCAGAAGCTCCATCCAGCCACATTATAGTTGATTTGCTTATTTTTTTCTTTTGAGTAAACTACAGGTTTTGGTCCATCTGGTGAGGTTCAGGTTTCAAAGCTGACCCGCTGGTCATTTTGCTGCCTGAGAAAGCTATCAGACTTGCCGCTCCTGGCACAGCTGGCTTGCTAAATTACCACAAAATGTGAGAGAACAGTGGCTTCCTGGCTTTCTCCAGAACTACCGTGGATTATACCGACAATACAGAGCTCCTATGACAAAAAGGTGGCCAAAAAACAGAACGTGTTTTATTTACTGGTCAGTTTAACACCATCATTCTTTAAACTCATACCTACTCTAGGTCTGACCTCACATACAAAACATCCAAATGAATCCATTGATGGGATATAAATAAGAGACATTGGTTTGAACTGACACAAAGAAAAAGAAAAAAGTGGAGGAGGTCTGGTCTGATGGATTCCTCAGGCAAATGTGTCCGGTGGCAGTTTCATTTATACATAAATAACATTTGGGTGGGAGGAAACGGATCCACCGTAAGGCTTCTTTTTAAACATTGTTTCCCCATTGTTGTGGGTGTTAACTTTTCAGTGTTGCGTCTATCTCGGTACTTTAGTGGAAGATCTCAACAACAAGAGATGGAACCTCTCTGCAGCCTCAGAGAGGCTGGACCAGCAGGTCCTGGGATCACAGCAGGGAGGGAGGGAAGGACAGAGAGAAGTAGAGAGTGATGGGATTGGAAGAAGTTTATGTTTGAGCAGTCTGAGGTTTAGTCTCACTCACAAACCGTTCTTTCCTTTCTTGTGTCTCTTCATCTTCCTCTTCTTCCTCCTCCTCCTCCGTGTGCTGCTCCAGCTCCTCCCTGGTGATCATCTCAAAGTCGTTTCCGTTGCTGTGCTGTGAGCCTTCATCCTCTCGGCGGTCGCTGTCTGTGTCTGACTGGCGTTCCTCCGTTCCTTCCCCTTCCGCTTCCTTACCCTCCTCCCGCCCTACCTCTTTACTCTCCTCTTCATCCTCCTCCTCTTCCTCGTAGCCATCCTTCTTTTCACTGTCCGACTTCTCGTCGCTGTCTGACTTCTGAGCCTTGGTGGAAGTGCCGCCGTCCTTCTCGTCTGACTTGTCTGTGCCCTTCTTCTCGCTGCCTCGAGGTCCCTTGTATTCATGGGTGTAGAGCGGCCTGAACGAGTCGATGAAACCAACGTCTGCTGTCAGGTTGGGCAGGAACCAGAAGTGATGGCGCCCGCCAGTCACCAGCCAGATAATGAGGAAGAGAATGCAGCGAGCTGAGGAGACAGGAACCAAGCAGTGAGATAAACTTAACACACACCTGGCATCAAAAAGTGGAGGAGAAAGAGAGACCATATTTCTCCCACATTAGCTTCTCATCACTGGCTCCCTGTTAAAACCACAATTTAAAGTCCTTCTCCTCATACAGTCCTGAATGATCAGGCCTGATCTTATCTTAAAGACCTCACAGTATCATATTAACCTAATGAGACACTGTTCTCAGACTGCAGGCTTAAGCTGTGTCCACACTGAAAGCTGACAGCTGGTTGCTTGCAGACACACCAGGCTACGGTTGCCTAGGCAACCCTATATTCTATTTACTAACAGGCTATATGACCATTTACAGTATTCTGCGCTCTCATTGGTAGTTGCCTCAATCAGTCTCCTGGAAGCTAAGAAAAGTTTATTACATACTTTAATACATACCTCACATACAAGGTTTTAAATAATCAGGCCCCATCTTATCTTAATGACCTTGTAGTACCATATCACCCTATTAGAGCACTTCGCTCTCGCTCTGCAGGCCTACTTGTTGTTCCTAGAGTATTTAAAAGTAGAATGGGAGGGAGAGCCTTCAGTTTTCAGGCCCCTCTTCTGTGGAACCAGCTTCCAGTTTGGATTCGGGAGACAGACACTATCTCTACTTTCAAGATTAGGCTTAAAACTTTCCTTTTTGCTAAAAAAGGGCTGGACCAGGTGACCCTGAATCCTCCCTTTGTTATGCTGCAATAGACGTAGGCTGCTGGGGGATTCCCATGATGCATTGAGTTTTTCCTTTCCAGTCACCTTTCTCACTCACTATGTGTTAATAGACCTCTCTGCATTGAATCATATCTGTTATTAACCTCTGTCTCTCT